CAAAGAAATGGAAAAACGTTCCATGCTCAAGGATTGGAAGAACAAACACTGTGAAGATGTCAATGCTACCTAGAGCAATCTACACATTCAATGCAATCCCCATCAAAATACCATACACTTTTTTCAAAGAAATGGAACAAATAATCCTAAAATTTGTATGGAACCAGAAGAGACCCCGAATAGCCAGAGGAATATTGAAAAGGAAAAGCAAAGCTGGCTGCATCACAATTCTGGACTTCCAGCTCTATTACAAAGCTGTCATCATCAAGACAGTATGGTACTGGCACAAAAACAGACGCATAGATCAATGGAACAGAATCGAGAGCCCAGAAAGGGACCCTCAACTCCATGGTCAACTCATCTTTGACAAAGCAGGAAAGAATGTCCAATGGAGGAAAGACAGTCTCTTCAACAAATGGTGTTGGGAAAATTGGACAGCCACATGCAGAAGAATGAAACTGGACCATTTCCTTACACCACACACAAAAATAGACTCCAAATGGTTGAAAGATCCTAACGTGAGACAGGAGTCCATCAAAATCCTAAAGGAGAACACTGGCAGAAACCTGTTCGACCTCAGCCGCAGCAACTTCTTTCTAGAAACATCTCCAAAGGCAAGGGAAGCAACGGCAAAAATGAACTCTTGGGATTTCATCAAGATAAAAAGCTTTTGCACAGCAAAAGAAACAGTCCACAAAACCAAAAGACAACCGACAGAAGGGGAGAAAATATTTGCAAATGACATATCAGATAAAGGGCTAGTATCCAAAATCTATAAAGAACTTATCAAACTCAACACCCAAAGAACAAATAATCCAATCAAGAAATGGGCAGATGACATGAACAGACATTTTTCCAAAGAAGACATCCAAATGGCCAACCTCACACCAGTCAGAATGGCTAAAATTAACAAGTCAGGAAACGACAGATGTTTTTGGGGATGTGGAGCAAGGGGAACCCTCCTACACTGTTGGTGGGAATGCAAGCTGGTGCAGCCACTGTGGAAAACAGTATTGAGGTTCCTCAAACAGTTGAAAATAGAGCTACCTTACAATCCAGCAATTGTACTACTGGGTGTTTACCCCAAAGATACAGATGTAGGGATCCGAAGGGGTACATGCACCCCGATGTTTATAGCAGCAATGTCCACAATAGCCAAACTGTGGAAAGATCCAAGATGTCCATCGACAGATGAATGGATAAAGAAGAGGTGGTATATATACACAATGGAATATTATGCAGCCATCAAAAGGAATGAGATCTTGCCATTTGTAATGACGTGGATGGAACTGGAGGGTGTTACGCTCAGTGAAATCAGTTAATCAGAGAAAGACATGTATCATATGACCTCACTGATATGAGGAATTCTTAATCCTAGGAAACAACCTGAGTTTGCTGAGTGGTGGGGGTGGGAGTGATGGGGTGGCTGGGTGATAGACATTGGGTAGGGTATGTGCTATGGTGAGCGCTGTGAATTGTGCAAGACTGTTGAATCACAGATCTGTACTTCTGAAACAAATAATGCAAAATATGTTAAGAAAAAAGAAAAGGAAGAAGATAGCAGGAGGGGAAGAATGAAGGGGAGTAAGTCGGAGGGGGAGAGGAAGCACGAGAGACGATGGACTCTGAAAAACAAACTGAGGGTTCTAGAGGGGAGGGGGTGGGGGGATGGGTTAGCCTGGTGATGGGTATTAAGGAGGGCACGTTCTGCGTGGAGCACTGGGTGTTATGCAGAAACAATGAATCATGGAACACTACATTAAGAACTAATGATGTAATGTATGGTGATTAACATAACAATAAAAAATTAAAAAAATAAAATGATTAGCATCTAGTAGGTGCTCAATAAATTCAGGATGAAGGATTAACTGATTTGTAAAAAGTAAGTAAGAGAAACAAGCCAGGAAAATACTATATAAAGTCACTTATGTGTGAAAAATAAAAAGTTGGACTCAGAGAAACGGAGAGTAGATTGGTGTTTGCTAGGGGCTGGGGGGTGGGGGAAATGGGATAGATGCTGGTCAAAAATGCAAAAACTTCCGGTTATAAGATGAATACATTCTGGGACCTAATATACAGCATGGTGACTATAGTTAATAATACTGTGTTGTGTACTTGAAAGCTGCTAAGAGAGTAGATCTTAAAGTTCTTACCACACACACACACACACACACACACACACACGTGAGGTGATAGATGTGTTAACTAACCTTATTGTGGTAACCATTTCACAATATATACATATATTAATTCATCATATTGTACATGTTAAACTCACACAATGTTATATGTCAATTATGTCTCAATAAGGCTGACAGGAAAACAGAAAAAAGAAAAGGATCCAGATGTCTGGCAGTTTACTTTGGGCAGACTTGAGCCCATGAGATCCAATTCAATTCCATCTCAGAAGTAAAATGTTGCTATGCAGAAAATATTCCACTCATTTAGACTTGGGCCAGGGTATAATACTTCCAAATTTGCCAGAGATCTACAGGCTTTTTTTTTTTTTTTTTTTTACCAGAGAAAGAAAGAGGAATGTGTTTAGAGAATCAATCAGAATCAAATCTTCACCCAAGAAGCTCCGTATAAACATTAACTTGGCTATACAGCCTTCATCCAGCTGTCTCTTTTCAAATTTACACAGGCAAAAAAAAAAAAAAATTGTAAACTAAAAATATCACAATAACTGGAGGCTGACATCTGCAATCCTCTTCAGTTGAAGCATCCAAGTCAATGCAACAAATATTTATATTAAGAACTGAAATGTTAGGAAATAGTTCAAAAAATTTGATAGGGCTAGTATCAACAGACATCTCCAAAGTGTCCAGTGCACATAACATAGAATATAGAATACGTTATCTATTAAATATCTGCTTTCTGACATCCTGCACAGGATCCCTGATAGGAATGTCCTTATGCCATGCCAGTCAGCCTAAAGCCAGAAATCAGCAGGACAGAGAAAGTAGACCAAAGCCACTACATGTCTGCCTTTCTGTCCTGTCAAGCCATGGGACTCTTCCTCTCTCCAACAGCACTACCCCACTCCCACCCTCACCATCCAGGGAGTCTAGGCACAATGAGAGACTGGATCTGATTCATACTCCTGAATAAATGTCCAGGGGCCCCAGAAGACAAAGAAGCACAGAATAATGATATTAAATAGCAGTGCCACATGCCAGAAAATTTTAATTTCTCTTTTTTACTTTAAGATGATACAGGACTCTTAAATCTGATGAAATTTTAAGTTGTGGCAATATTCAATCTAGCGAATTATGGCAAAACAGAACTATAAAACAATAGAATGAAAACCGTAACAAAAACCCACATTATCTGAATAATCCTCACCATCAGTATGAACAAGCACCCAAGATACTGGATGGTCGTGAACCCCTATGCTTTGTTTTGGCAGAGTAGGTGTAATATTTTGCTACATTTGTTCTCTCTCGCTGCTGATCAGAAGTCATTAATAAGATGTAATGCTATATAGTATACTTCTCTTGACAGCAAGGAAGGCATTTCACTGGGAACTGTGGAAGTTTACTTACCAGCACACCAACTAATTTTACATGAGGATCCTGAGCTCAGAATTAATCATTACTATCTCTGCAATCTCATGTTTTATTTATATCTTCTCATAACACTTACATTTTGCACTGTGATTACTTGTGCTTGTGTCTGTCAGTGCCACTAAATTGTGAACCCCTTGAGAGCTGAATCTAGGTTTTGTTCATCTTGTGTTAATCTCTCAAGGCCTAGGGCAGAGTTTTGTGAACACTAGATGAATAATAAATGTTGAATGAATGAATGAATGAACCAAGTGCCCAGAAAAACTAATGACAACACTACATACTGTCTATAGAGAATCCGTTCCAATTGACGTGTGTGTATTTGTTATCTGTGGATCAAAGGAAACCAACTGCATCTAAGAGTCTGTCAGTATTTTAAATCAGTTGTCACATTCTTATTTCTCTCCAGTCTACCCCCCAAACTTCTGTGAATGGCAAACTTGATTGTTGTCAATAACTTTTAAATAGAAACATCTGTGTATGTGGGAAGTGGCAAGTTAGTAAAAGATATAATGTAAAATATAATGGAATATTAAGTATCGTAAAGAAATAACATCTGCTCATTATTGTTTTTTATACGTTGTAGCATTTTTCTTTATGTGAAATGTAGTCTGTTGTAATCTCTTCTGGAGAGGGACTAGGGTGGTTAGCTTTCTGTCTCAAAGCTGGTATGTCTGAAAAATGCCTTGTTTCATGTTCGCATTTGAATGTTAATTTGGCTAGATACAGAAATCTCCATTCAAAGTCCTGTTTTGTTTTGTTCTGTTTTGTTTTTCAGCAGCAGAGGTCCAGAGTTTCCTGTTTTCAGAGGTTGATGAGAAGTCTGCTCTAAATCAGATTTTTGATTGTTAGTGATATTTTTCTTCTCTGATAACTTTTGGGATTCTTTTCTATATTTTGAGGTCCTAAAACTTTTCTACATTATTATACAGCTTAGCACATGGTAACCGTTTCGTTCTGAAGTCTTTTTTTTTTTTTTTTAGTTGTAAGAAATTCTTAGATATTATTTCTTTAACCACTGGCTCCTCTGTGTTATCTCTCTTTCTCCTTTATAAACTTCTCTGTGTTAGATATTGGTAAAGCTAGAGCTATTCTTTATGATTCTTTTCCTTTAAACTTTCTCTTTACCCTTTCATCTTATGTTCTGGAAGAATTCCTTAGCCTTGCTCTTCCTAGCTGACTAATTTGCCCCTCTGTTTTTTCATTCTGCCCCTGAGCCATCCATTAAGTTCTTAATGGCAACAATTACATTTCTTCATTTTTCAGATTTCCTCTTGAGTCTGTCTTACAAAAATAAAGATCCTGTTGTTTCATGGATGTATTGCCATCTTTTACATCTCCAAAGATCTTAATCACTCTTCCTGTCATGTTTAGTTCTGAAGCCCTCTCCGAGCTGTAAAGGCTCTTGTTCTGGTCCTTCTCCAAGTCCCGTTTCTAGTTGTTCCCGACTGTGAGCTCATCTTTTCTAGACTCTCCGTGAGCTCGGCTTGGGCAGCCAGTCCTGGAGGAGGGGCTGAGCAGCGGTGGGTGCTTGTGCTCCTTGCTGTTTTCAGTGGGAACGGGACAGGCAGAGCTGAGGACAGCTGCTGGCTTCAGAGCTTGTCTGGTCCCTAATTTATCCTGGATGTCATCAGCTACCTGGGGCCCTTCCCTACTTCTCCATCCTAAACTCTGACGTGAACGCTGGATAGAGGAGGGAAGAAGGAGTGCACAGGGATTCGCAGGACAAACTGCTCCCACTATCAGGGCTCTACCAAACTCTCACGGGCAGTCTCCAGCCCTCTCCCGCTCCAGGGTGCCAGCACGCAGAGACGTGGCTTTTCCGGTGCCGCACCTGGTGGCTCTCGGTCAACCCCACCCTTCAAGCTGCTAGGAATTCCTTGAAGCCTCTAGTCCCTTAAGAGGTTTATGTCTCTACTGGAATTGGAGAAAACTCTGGTACTTCTCTGGTATGTTGGCCGTCTCCCTTTATGCTCTTGGATCCCATTTCTGTTTTTCCCCTCTTTGACGCTGCGTCACCGGAAACTACATCCCCCGACTCTCCTAACACCTGGTTTCTGGGCCAGTTCAGCCAGTGGGGCCGCGGGTGGAAGACCCGAAGTGGTGTGAGAGAGAAGCCTGGGCTCCCGGCCAGGATGACGCCTCTGGTAAGACCGGAGGCTCTTCGGTGGCCCCAGCACTCATCATGGGCTAGCTCCTCCGGTCAGCTCTAGTCTGAGACATTAGTTAACATAAGCTTCTACCATCCTCTCTCCAATCCCAGGAGTGTAGGGCCCCCTGCTGTTCCTGATCTCTGGGGTGCTGTGTATTTCCTACAATACCATCTCCTTACAACTGATTTACTATGTTAAACTCCTTTTGTTGGGAGGCCTAGGGTGGTTTTGTTTTCCTGGCTGAACCCTGACTTGAAGATCAAAATTCTGAAGAGACATCTCAGATTATAGATGTCATAACTGGTATAACAGAAGACGATAATTGGTAATTCCTTTCTTTGAGGGGAAGGGAGCATCAAAGGGAAGGAATACTCAACTTGGAGAAATTTCTCTGTATCTAAGCTATCCCAAGTTATTTCAAGGAGTGACAGGGAATTCTTCAAAATTCTTTTGGCAATATATTTCACTTTAATTGCATATATGCCACAAAGTGAATTTGCAAGGAAAGCCTTAGGAGCCTCTCCTATTATTAAACACAGTGTTCTAGAATTACAAAATGGTATCCTAGATGAGTGAAAGCTTTGATTATAGCAGAAACCTTGCCTAAGCCTCCTCAAGCTTTAGACCTACCTCTGGGCACAGCCATGAAATAGTTTAAAGAAAATACTTTCATCATCTCTATTATTTACCATTTTCTCTGTTGGGAGAGGACTAGGTGAAATGATACTAAACCCTTAGAAAAATCTCGTGTAGCTCTATTTCTCATTTGGAAATTGAGAATATCACTGCCTTCTAAGCCCAGCCCATTATTATCACTCCACAAATACTTTGTGAGCTGCACAGAAACAACAAGAAAGCCCACCACTATGGCTCATGATCAGAGAGAGAACGAGAGCCACACCATGCCCCCGATATGCCACATGGCTGCAGAAATAGAAGGCCCTGAAAGATGCCGCTGCTGGTAGAAAAGCCCTGAATCCCTGCTTTCATTCCCATTTCCAGTGTTTGAACAATAATATATGGGCCATCTATTTATTAAAGGAGAGAGCTACATTGGCATGGGATAAATTGGTGCTTGTAGCAAGATGCTTTTTAATACAAAGGACGTTTCTTGAATTCCTTTCAGATCTGAGATCCACAGCTTATGAGTGTTTGGTGTGTATGTTTTAAAATTGCACGGCTATTATACAAGCCCTTCTCTTCAGCTGGCATGAGAAGGATATTCCCACCCTTTATAGGCTCTGTTCTCTACTCCCTCAAAGCTGAGGCGGCAAAAACCCTGCCAGCCTTATCCAGCTTTTCGTGGAAAGCCGCCACTCTTAACTGGCGCCTAAATGCAATTTCAGACTGTCCCAGGAGACCTTCATGCTTTGAGGTGAATTTGTAACGTTAGGGCCAACAAAGAAGTTAACACAAACTTCCACTGTTAAAGACACAGAAACAAGTCTGCAGGCTTACTGAAGCAGCTCTGCGTCTGTGAGCACCTCTGTCCTCTGCTCCCCAGTGACAAGGGCCAGTTCATCCTTCAGTTCCTGGATTTCTTTTTGTAGGCGTATAATCATCTACAAATGGCAAGGCGAGAGAATAAATGTCAACTCCTCATTAAAGGAAACTTTGGGACAGAGAACATACATCTTTGAAAATTACAAACAATTTCAAGGATACAAAAAACATCCAGAGAATGATATAAAAGCCACCCCTGTGTACCTACCACCAGCCTTTGTTAAATCTTAACGTTTTGTCAAAATCATTCTAGAATTCATTTTAGCAAATAAAACAGTGCTTGTGTAACTGGAGCCCCTAATTCCTATTCCCTTTTTGTCTTTCCTGGGGTGATCACTGTACTGCATTTAATGGGGAGCATTTCCCGGCATGTTTTCATATGTTTACTCCATCTGTATGGATGTAACTATAAATAATAGATGGTATCATTTTGCATGCTTTAAACTCTATGTAAATGTTACCATGCTGCATGGAATGGTAACGTGCTTTTTTTCTTCCTCGCATTATGTTTTTGAGATTCTTTATACTGCTTCACATAGCTCTAGTTCATTAATTTGCACGGATATATACTATTTCGGTAAAGGAATATATCACAATTTATCCGTGTCTCCTGTTGATGGACATTTAGGATTTTTACCTTTGCTATCACAAACAGTGTTGCTGTGAACACTATAATTCTATGGGCACATATGTGAGTTTCGCTATAGGGTGCACTTAGAAATAAAACTGTGTGGTTGTAGAGTATGTGCATCTTCCCTTTAGTATATATTGTTAAACTGCTCTTCAGAGTAGTTGTATAAACTTACATTCTGTATCAGCAATATATATTAAGTTCCCGTTTCCCCACATTTACTTCACTATGTATGTAGTATTGACAGATGCTTTAATTTTGCCAGCCCAGACGGTGTAAAATGGTACCTCATTTAGTTCTTATCTGCATTTTCTAATTATTAAGGAGGTTGATCATCTTTGCGCATGGATATTGGCTGCTTGGGTTTCCTTTTCTGTAAATTACTTATTCATATTCTTGCTCATGTTTCAATTGAGTTGTTTTTCTCTTCCTTATTGATCAGCAGGCTTCTTTATACATGAATCCTTTGTTAGTTTTATGCAAGGTACATGTTTTCTCCCAACCTATGCCATGTTTTTCACTTTTTTAAAGATTTTATTTACTTATTTGTCAGAGAGAGAGAGAGAGAGAGCACAAGCAGGGGGAGCGGCAGGCAGAGGGTGAAGCAGACTCCCCGCTGAGCAAGAAGCTGGATGCTGGGCTGGATCTCAGGACCCCAAGATCATGACTTGAGCCTAAGGCAGACGCTTAACCAACTGAGCCACCCAGGCGTCCTGCTTTTTGTGGTGTTCTTTCTGTTAAGTGAAGATTTTAAATTTCAATATAATTTTATTATCAACTTCTTCCATTATGAGTTGTGTTTTTGTGTCTTCTTAAAATCTATTCTACCTAAAACCAAAGGAATATTTTCCTATATGTTCTTATAAAAGTTTTAAAGCTTTGCTTTTCACATTTAGGCTTTTGTTTTGTATAAAGTATGAGAATGTATCTAATTTTATTTTTTTATATGGCTAACCATGTAAGATTTGCTATTATAATTCTGTTATATAACATGTTTCTACATATAAATGTGTCTTTTTCTGGGCTCTTAGTTAAAAACATTTATGTACTTGACTATATGTGCAGCAATACTATGCTATTTTAATTATTATATCTTATGAAATTTTGACACTTAGATAGAATAAGCCCTTTTCACTTTATTCTTTTCCAAAATAGATATGGCTATTCTTGGTCATTTGTTCTCTTGTATAAGTTTGAGACACAGCTTGTAAAATTCCACCAAAGGTCCTTCTCAATTTTCAACTGGAAGTAAATTTGATTAAAAGGGTAATCTGGGGGGCACCTAGGTGGCTCAGTTGTTTAACTGTCTGCCTATGGCTCAGGTGATGATCCGGGGACCCTGGGATGGAGCCCCGCATCGGACTTCCTGCTCAGCGGTGAGTCTACTTCTCCCTTTTCCTCTGCCTGTCCCTCCCCCTGCTTGTGCTCTCTCCTTGTCAAATAAATAAATAAAATCTTTTTTAAAAAAGGGTCATTTGGTAAGACATATCAAATTAGTGATGTTGAATCATCTCATCCATGAACATAGCATGGCTTTCCACTGATTCCTTTCAATAAAGATTTATCATGTTCTCTATAAATATATGTTTAATTAGATTTTTTCCTAGAATGTTAAAAGTTTTTATTGCTATTATTAATGAAATTTTTGTAAAATTACATTTTCTAATTGTTAGCTTTTGATTTATAGGAAGGCAATTAATTTTTATGTATGGATTATGTACCAAATAATTTTCTGAACATTGTTTTGGTTCTGTTTATCATAAATATTTTTAGATGTTCTATATAAGCAATCAAATTGTTTGCAAGTAATGACAGATGTTTCCTTCTTTTCAAATCCTCATACCTTTTTTTTTTTTAATTGTCTCTGTCCTAGCTAGGACTTCCAAGTATAATGCTTCAGACACTGATTCTTATCTTACTCCTTCTAACATTTCACCTTCAAAATGTTTGCTGTAGTTTTTGGTTGATACCCTTAATCACGTTAAGGCTGTTCACTGATATTCACAGTTTGATGAGTCTTTTCAAACTATGGGTGAATGTTTAATGTTAAAAATACTTTTTCTGCATCTAGTGATGTGATCATATAATTTTTCTCTTTTCAACTGTGAATGTGACGAATCACCTTGATTCAAGTGATTTTTTTTTTTAGTATGAACTACTTCAGATATACAAAAAGATATAAAGGATATCTTGTGAACCCACTACTTAACTTAAGTGAACATCAATATACCTACTATGTAGCTTAAGAAATAAAACCTTACAGATGCTTTTGAAGGCCTGAACCTCTGTATAGCCTTCTCTAAATGAATCCCCCATTACCATTACCTGAAATTTGGTGTTTATTTTTCCCATGGCTCTTTTTTCTTTTACTATATACACTAACATGTTTTCTAATGATACATTATCTTTCAATTCCCAAAATAAACCCAACTAGCTCATGATACCACATATTGTATTAATAATCATAATGCAAAGTTCCTAAAACAAGAATTGGCAGACTGAATTCAATTTATATTCTTCCTTCAATATTTGGTAAACTTAAAAAAAAACATGGGAGTCTGCTCCATCCTTCCTTCCTTCCTGTCTTCTTTCTCTCCCTCTCTCTTCCCCTTCCTCCCCCCTTCCCCCGTTCCTTCTTTCCTCTTTCTCTTTTTCTTTCTCTCCCTTTGGTAGCTTTGTTATTATTGAGTCTATTAGTCATAGATATATTCATGTTTTTAAAAATTCTTCTTAAAAAATAAAATAATAAATTCTTCTTGCATTAGCTTCAGTGGTATGTTTTTATAGGAAATTGTCCATTTTGTTTTTAAATTTACTGCCATAAAGTCTTTCAAAATACTTTATTATTATTTTAAGCTCTCTACTGTACCTATAGTTAAGGCCTCTTTTCATTCCAAATACTGTGTGGATTTCTGCCTTCTTTATTCTTTTCTTCATTAATTTTTCGAGATTTGCTCATTTTATTAATAGATTAAAAATCAACTTCAGGGGCGCCTGGGTGGCTCAGACGGTTAAGCGTCTGCCTTCGGCTCAGGTCATGATCCCAGGGTCCTGGGATCGAGTCCCGCATTGGGCTCCCAGCTCCTTGGGAGCCTGCTTCTCTCTCTGCTTCTCTCTCTCTGTCTCTGTCTCTCTGTCTCTCATGAATAAATAAATAAAATCTTTAAAAAAAAAAATCAACTTCAGGTTTGGTTACTCCTCTCCACTGTATCTTTGCTTTGGGTTTTCGCTCATTTTTACACTTTTTAATTTCTGTCTTTCTACTCTTTTGGATTTATTTTATTGCTCCTTTATCTAACTTCTTGGCTTGGAGTCTACCAGACCAAGGGAGTTTGCAAATTTGAACTTCAAACTCATTGGAAGCAGAGCCTTATGATTTCAAATTTCCAGAGAAACCACCTTTTGCTCCACCTGAAGTTCAGGTTAAGGCACATAAGCTTCCCTAGCATCTTCCTGTGCCAGTGGGCAGATTTTTTCCTTTCTGGTTCACCCTTTCACTGGTTTTATGTTGGGAAGTAGAGAGGATGTCATGGGTTCATCATCCATCTTCCAAGGTTCCAGGGCTCCAACTTTGATGCCTTTCTTACAATTCCCTTCATCCCTTTACTCCAGGACAACTGCAGCTTCAGCTTGGTTTCTGGGCCCTGGAGAATCCATTACCTTATTCAACCTCAGACATATATTTCAAAAGTGCTTGTTAAATTTTATATATAGGTGGAGTTCATATTATCTCTGCCACACTGACAGGACCAGAAGTTACAAAGAATAGGATACAGAGTATTTTGAACATGTGAGTCCTCCTAGAATTTCATTTAAATGCACAGGATTGAGTGGGTTTTCGTTGTTTGCTTCTTTTCAAAAACATGCTCAGAATCATCAAGCTCTGCAGAGTGAAAATCCTTAGACAGGAACTATGTGAGTCATTCATTTGTATCTCCCCCCCCCCAAATTAATATTGATTCCATATTTTCTACTTCTGCTAAGGCTTTCAAAGTCAAATCTAACAACCAAATTAACTTCTGTCACTGAACAGAAATCTCAAAACTAAGCCAACTTTTCATGATTTTGAGATAATTACGGTCACACCTCCCATCAAATGACTGTAGAAACTTTGGAAGGAGAGCCATCCTTAGAAGACTTTTTTTTTAAAAGATTTTATTTATTTATTTATTTGAGAGAGAGTGCACAAGAGCAGGTAGGGTTAGAGGGAGAAACAGACTCCCCACTGAGTAGGGAGCCCAATGTGGAACTCCATCCTGGGACTCCAGGATCATGACCTAAGCCGAAGGCAGTTGCTTAAGCAACTGAGCCACCCAGGCACCCCTGTCCTTAGATTTTGGCCCATATGAGTCACCAAAGACTCTGGCCTCTTTACAATCCTTTTATCACCTTGTCTTACTGAGGTATTAATAATTGTAAAGAAAGCAAGTCAAAACCCTGGTGGTCCTGATCTTAGAGGGCTGGTTCCACATGTGCCATTGGATTTTGAGAGCAAGATATTGGAAATCCCATCCAAGTTGTGTTTTGGGTGGTTTTGAGGACAAATTTGCAATTGCCACCTGTGCTTCAGAAAAGCTCTGTCCATAAAGTCATGAAGAGTAATGTCAGTTTTTAGAAGCCATTATAAAAGAGACCAGGAGATAATACTTGTCAATTACCAGATTGTTCTGCACCAGGAAGATCTCAATATATATATATTTTTTAACCTACAAATCTTATTTCATTTTATTTACTATTTAGATTCAATTAGCCAACATATAGTACATCATTAGTTTCAGATGTTAAATAATTTATCAGTTACATATTACACCCAGTGCTCATCACCTCACAAATGAAACTGGATCATTTTCTTACACCATACACAAAGATAAACTCAAAATGGATTAAAGACCTCAGTGTGAGACAGGAATCCACCAAAATCCTAGAGGAGAACATAGGCAGTAATCTCTTCGACATCAGCCACAGCAACTTCTTTCAAGACATGTCTCCAAAGGCAAGGGAAACAAAAGGAAAAATGAACTATTGGGACTTCCTCAAGATAAAAAGCTTCTGCACAGCAAAGGAAATAGTCAACAGCGCTAAGAGGCAACCCATGGAATGGGAGAAGATATTTGCAAATGACATATCAGATAAAGGGGTGGTGCCCCAGATCTATAAAGAACTTAAAAACTCAACACCTAGAAAACAAATAATCCAGTCAAGAAATGGGTGAAGACATGAACAGACATTTCTCCAAAGAAGACATACAAATGGCCAACAGACACATGAAAAAGTGCTCAGTGTCACTTGGCATCAGGGAAATATAAATGAAAACCACAATGAGATACCACTTCACACCAGTCAGAATGGCTAAAATTAACAGGGAAGACCTCAATATTTGTTCAATTAACAGCTGTCAGCTTTGATTCAGGTTTCTCTCTTTACATTTCTTGCAGCCCTACATCAAACACATGACAATGTTCACCTTTTTTTCACATTCCTCAAGTACCCTCAAAGTTTCTCTAGCCAAATTTAAAGAAAAAAAACTCTCCAGCATTTAATATGTTCATTTTCCTTCAATTACGCACTAATTTTTGTCTTCAGGCTAACAACTCATGGCTGTCTTTCTCAGGCTGCTCTGTGATGCTACAGGGCTGCTTGCTGGCGAGGCAGGGATGGCAGAAGAATTCATCCTATGAGTTCCCTTTCACTTGACTCATGCCTTAGAGTTCTGACTCCTTCTTCCAGCGGGGGCACTGTGTGACCAGGGCCTGTGCTGCAAAGAGGCCCTGCCTCACCCACTTGGTTTCTCAAGAAGAGATTTCCATCTGGGCTGCTCAAGCTCCTGAGGTGAGCAGGGTAAAACAAATAACCCCATTATTCTTTTAACCTTGTCTCTATACTTCAGCGCAATGATTTCAGGGAGACAGGACAAACAATCAGAAGGAAATAATTAGTATGGGTAACAGTGAATTTGAGAAGGTTATGATTATTATTATTATTTTGGAATTTGAGGAATATATAAATGAAGCAGTGTCGGTGAGATTTCACACCCTTTTTTATAATGCATACTGCTAAGCTTACACTAGCTTATGTTCTAGAGAAAATTTTAAAAGCTGAGTGATTTGAAAAGTAATATAATCTTAATTTGGGAACGTAAAAAATTGAAATATTTTATTTCTACATTTTCAATGTTGGCATAAGTTGATTCCATGTTGTATTTCATTTAAGAAGACTAACAAAATAGAGAGAAAACATCTGCATTTAAAATGAGGATCTGAGTCATGGAACTTGCAAATATTTTTGCTTTAAAAAAGCATTCTGATAAAGCAGGATTCATTGTTATAAAACTAGAAGTTTGGCTATTTTTCCATGGACCCAACCAATGATTAATTTTTTTAAAGATTTATGTATTTATTTTGCGAGAGCTAGAGAAAGCAAGGGAGCAGGAGAAGGGGCAGAGGGAGAGGGAGACAGAGAATCTTAAGCAGACTCCTCACTGAGCATGGAGCCCAACATGGGGCTCAATCCCACGACCCTGAGGTCATGACCTGAGCTGAAATCAAGAGTTGGATGGTTAACTGACTGAGCCACCCAGGTGCCCCAATCATTAATTTTTTTGTCTCTACAATAAGTAATAGGACAGTTGTGTAAAATACAGTTCTACTTAATAACCATTAAAACTTCTTTTTCTCTGTTAGCTTTTATAGAAGATGGTCTATTATTATTATCTCTAGAAACTTAACCTGATGTTTTCTGAAAGGCTACTACCTTCATGTAAATATAACTGGCCACGACTGTGTCGCACACATTCTCAGGACTCATTTCATTATCCTAGGAGTGGACTGATGGGACTGCAGGCGGCAGGTCCTTGCATCAGACCATCTGCACCTGAATCCTGGCTCTGCCACTTGTGGAGGCTGTGACTCTCAACAGGTTAGTTAACATTTCTGTGCCTCAGTTTTGTCATCTGTAAAGCGGGAATGGAGATTACATCTACTCATAAGCGTGTTGTGAGAATTTAACAAATTGATATGTTTCCAATACTTAGAACACTACCTGGTATGGAGGAAGTGCGCCTCAAGTTTTACTAATCTTTGACCCACTTTGATTTTTCTTCCAGCCTCGTAAGTTCAAAGCTGCTTACCAATTTAGGATCGATTTCTTCATTAAGAACAGCTTCATTCTTTATGAGCGCCACTCGTTGTGCAAATCTACAGGTAGATATCGACTCCTATAAAGCAAAATAACTCCTTAAAATGTTATGGCTTAGAGAGATAAACCTTAATTTTTGTTCACAGAAGAAAGAAGCACATCTAAAGAGTGATGTGTATAAAACACAATGAAGGAACATACCTCCAAATTAGGAAGCTTTGTTCCAGAACATCAGTTTTATTAAAATTTTATTTTGGCCTAATAAAATGGTCCATGCCAAACGTGGGAGATCATGAGGTCCTACGTGGTGACTGTATGTAGTTTTCAACTACTGATCTATGAAACCAGAGCCACATACATGTATGTCATAATCATAGCAGATAGTATTATAATCCACAATCCTGAATGACTACAAAATAAACATTTGTAACAGGCCAGAAAGAGGCTTTGCGAGACATCTTAGAATGCACTTAGGGATTGGCCTCGTTTTGGAAGACACCCTGCCACTTCTTGTTTTCCTCTTCTGGAGAAAGTCTGGATCCCAAGCATTAAACTGTGATGCATAAAACATGAAGCTGAGTCTAAAGCAACCCAGGAAAGCCAGTCAGTAGCCAGCCCTTGACAAAGCATCCTGTGCGCTTCACTCAGTGACAGGTCTAGGGACACATCCTACAGATGCCTCCAAGGTATCTTAGTAATTAGGAGCTAAACAGAACAAAGCTAATGGGTCTCCTCTCTCATGTCCTCTGGCCAAGATAACTAACCCAGCAGCAGGCTTTCCAAAATTTGTGTCTGAGCCTTCTTCCCACGGGCTGTGTGAAGTCCATTCTCAAATGGGGGTAATTATAATGCTGGCAAACCAGCCAAAGCTGCGAACTCTGTAGGGTGTTTACATCTCAAAGCATACCCCAACCCAGCTGAAAAGATGGAAACCCACCCAGGACCCTCAACACCATCTCATAAACTAGCAACAGAAACTCAGACTGAGATCTCCAGAAAGAACCAACATACGTCGATATTCCTTTTCTCTAAAGAGAGTGTTGCGATCATGGTCGTCATGCAGTTCCCTCCCAAACTGTCTCTTAGGACACTGGTCATCATGGAGTTCCTGTAGGGAATGTGTGCACGGTGTTTTTCGGAAAGAGCAATGATCACCTGTGGCGTGGTAGAAAAATAATGGTATTAGGTTAGCAGACAATGCACATCTGGAGCTCAGCTAAGCTGCAACTGCAGTGAAAATTCAAACAGAAATCATAACTGAATGCAGGGTGACATCTAAAACTTGGGCTCAAAATAAATATCTTAACATGATTTGGTACTATAATGGTAGAGATGGAGGGAAGTAAACTTAGCAAAAACATACCACCATGAACGCTGTAATTTTTGGACAGATGATATAACTTGGCATAGAATAGGATACATTATTATCCTGTCTTCAGCCATTGGAAAATTCATGTAAAATTCAAGAGGAAATCATGCCAGAGTTTTAAAATCTTACCAAAATTGATCTCTATGACCCATCTTCAAGGCAGAAGAGGCAGAGCAGTAAATGAGAACTATGAGAGACAGCAGGGGTTAGTGTGGAGACCCAAGAATCTGGTACCACATTGTCCAGGTCCAAATTCTAGCCTTACTAGGACATGTCACTCAACATCTCTGCCTCAGTGTCCTCAATCGTAAAACAGAGAAAAGATAACATCTACCTCGTAGGAAGTTGGGATGACTGAGAGTTAAAATGCACAAATTACTTTGAGAAGTAGCTAGCTCAGTGCTGTATACATGTTTGCTACCATTCTAAGTGAAGGGGCAAGTTTATGTTGGTTCAACTAAGGCTTGCTCATCTTACTTTTCACTTAATAGGAAGGTACTAGCTGGATGAAAGGCTGCTGTGGAGTTGTCCCCAAAGGGATCCACCAGGGGTTCACGGTTTTCCTAGGAAGATGAACCCAGTGCTAGGATGTCCATCCCAAGTATGAGGAATAAGACACCCACAGATGTGATTTCAGAGGCATTACAAGGACCCGACTTTTGAAAATACCTCTAATAACACCTACCATTGTTCTAACCTTCCCTCCCTTCAGGTGTGTAATCCCTACCATCAGAACTTCTTCTACTCCCTTGGTTTATAAAACAAGGTTGTTTTCAAAGGCTGTTTGGGGCAAAACACACACTACCACTGGTCCTGCTTCAAATTCATGACCACAGATTTAATTATAAACCAGATATCCTGTGATAATTTCTCTCAAAAATTACTTCTCCACTCACTCCACTCCAGGAATGAGGCTTTCACATCTTATCCTTTTGTTTCAGACCTCCACCCAGCCTCTTCTCCCTGCTTTTAGTCTTAGCTGATGGCCACACACCCTTCCATTAGATGTGAGCAGCCTGACCAGAACCATCTCCTGTCCTATCACTAAATGCCCCCCACACTCTGCCCTTCCTGTGTCACCAAACTGCTCCTTCTAAGGCCACCCCTCATTCTCTCCTTCTCCTCTCACTTACCTTACTCCTAAAATTATCCCTTTTCTTCTGCATCAATTTCTCTCTCTCACTTGGATCATCCCCACCCTGCCTGCCCACTAGTCTAAAAACTAGGATGGCTCTTGCCAAGGCTCAGCAACCCCTGTTGTACCCAAAGCATTTATTGCCATCTTCTTAGACTTTTGAGTTGAGTAAGTATTCAACCCAGGTACTCACTGTCTCCTTTTGGAAACACTTTATTCATTGGTAACCAGGATACCACATTTCCCTGGTTTTCATCTTTCCTCAAACACTAGTTAATGAATGCTTCCTTTCCTTCTTCCTAAATTATAAACATTGGAGTGCCCCAGGGCTCAGTCCTTGATCCTCCTCTCTTTCTTACCTGCACTCTCTCTGTGGAATCTCATCCAATTCCCTGGCATTAAATACATAGATATCCTGACATCTCCTCAACTGATATCATCAGCTTCCACCTGTTCCCTGAGCTGCTATCTCTGTGGAAACCCTAAATCTCCACTTGGATGTCTATTCTTGACCTTCTCACCCCTCTCCCCACAAATCTGATTCTTTTCCAGTCTTTACCTATCATTATTGATGGCACCACCATCCACCTAGTGGCTCTGGCCAAAACCCTGGGCATCATCCTTATTTCCCCTCATTGGCAACATCTAATCCATCAGCGATTTCTATTAGTTTTACCTAAAAGACATGCCCAGAATTGGACCACTTTTCCCACTTTTTCTGTCACCATTCCAGGTCAAGCCTCCATCATCCCTTCCTCGGACTACACAAGGCTTTGACTCAGTCCTTGTTTCTCTTTTTGCCCACCCTCCCCGCCCCCCCCTTGGTCTACTCTCCACAGAGAAATCTTCATAAAATATAAGTTACATCCCTGTTATAAGTTACAAGTCACTTCCCTGCTTAAAACCTTCCCGTAGCTTCCTGAAACGCCATACTGACCCAACTCCTGCATGATCTGGTCCCTACCTATCTGTCCTCATCTTCTGTTGTGCTTTCATAGCCCACATTTGCCTTGCTGTTGCTCCACCATACCAAGATTGTCTCCACCCCTTTGAATTTGTTGTTCTTTTTATCTAGAATGTTGCCCAGATTTTCATATAGCTTCCTGTTTCACATCATTCAAATTTTTGCTCAAATCTTGTCTCCTCACAAGGGCTTTCACTGAACACCTTGTCAAATGTAACATACCTATCTCCAGGTTTTTAATCTATTTCATTTTTCTTCCTGTTCTTATCACTATTTGACACTCTATTCATTTATTTACTTTTTTTAATTGGCTTCCTCACTTGGCTTTCAGCTTCATTAGGCCAGAGACTTTGTTTCTTTCATTCACAGTTCTACCCCACTGCCTAGAGCAGTGTCTGGTCCCCAGTCCATGGGGCAGAAACTACATCGTCTTATTACTCAGTTCTCAGGATAACCCCATTCTAGTTTCACTTACTATGAAGCAACACTTCCTAGTCTCTCTTACAACTCAACGTTCTACATGAGACCTAGCTCCATCAAAAGGACACTCTTGTGGGAGTGGGGCTGGGACGTGAGTGATGAGAGGTGGTGGCCACAAAGAGGAAGATCAGATTTATAGGAGAGTGTGGTGGTGAAGGCATCTGGTTCCTTTGAGGCAGCTGCAGGAACTTTCTGGAAGCCAGGACTTACTGTCCTGGGTGCCAAGGGAGGATAATGGTAATATTTCACAGAGCAGTTCAGTGGTGTGGTTAGATGTGTCTCTTGTTTGCTGTGCTCTGGGCTGGGTAGTATCCAAGCCCAGTTTTCTAACTTTTCTTGAGGTTCTTTATGTTTAATAAACTCTATGTTGCTTAAATTAGCTACAGTAGGTTTTCCAGTTTATGATTAAGAAATCTGACTAATACAACATGTGTTCAACAACTTTATGTGAAAGGAATAAATAAATGAGTAGATTAATTAGCTTTACCTAGGAAGACAGCACAAGGATCAATAGTATGGAATGAGATTTGGTGGAACTGAGTTTTGATGTAATTGGAAAGGAAGTGGGGAACGTGGCAGACCCAAATCTGAGTGGCAAGGTGGTAGCAGGGGATGCTGAATAGAACTCCAGACCCTCAGAACCAAGTGGACAAATGCAATATCTCTAGCAATCAAGGCAGGCCCAAATGCCAAACACCAGACCAAATGGGTTGGTCTGACAGATGTGTGAGAGGGTGGCATTATTGTTTATGAATCATAATTAAGTATCTGACAATGTTCTAAGTACTTTGAAATTCTTGCATAAAACAAATGTCACTATTTTTTTTTCCTGCTCCAGGAAACAATCTCTTCTATTCAACAGCTTTATGACAACTTAGATGACATAAAGGAGAATATGCTTATTAAACTTCATGCTGGTATTAAATTGAATGGGGTTAGTTAATTTGCTATTGGCTGCAGTAACAGAAAATGTAGCCCAAACTGGATTTAATCATAAGGGAAATTTATTGGCCTATGTAACTATAATAGGAAAGGTTTTAGGTTACACATAACCCAAAAGGTCAGTGCTGCCACCAAGGATTTAGTTTTCGCCAATATCTCTGCTCTACCTTCTATGTTGTAGAAGTCTGCCTCTCTTCATGGCCACGGGATGGCTGCCAAATATCCTTATTTATAACTGATGTCAGAAAGTTCTCTAATCATTAAACATATATCCTGAGCTTCCCTAGGGACCAACTTGGGTCATGGGCCCATGTCTGAACCAATCACTACAGCCAAGGCTCCAACTGGCTTAGACTAGTCAAGGTCTACTCCTAGAGCTGGGATGGGTTCATGGCTGCTACTCTTGCAGTGAATGTTGTAAAGGCAATTCCAATGCCCTTTCCAGAAAGGGTTCTAAAATGGTTCAAGAGAATAATTAAAATTCCAAATGCAATTATGGATTGGAAAGCATGGTCTTTAAAAATGGGGAAAATGAAAGCAGTGCATAATAAAAGAAAGAACCCAGCACTTAGAGGCAGAATCTAGCTGCCTTACTTGTGCAATTTTAGGCAGATCTCTTAAATTTATTAGTCTCTGTTTCCTCACCTGTAAAAGTGGGATTAGAATACCTGCCTATCTCACAGAAATGTTTTAAAGATGAATAGAGATTGTTTCTGGGATAGTAAAACAAAAAGCACTCCATTTGCAGGTGTATCCAGGCTATGTTCTTTAGGATGCCTCTGGACACTTGTTATAGCCATATAAAACCAGTCCTGGGCTATTTCTCTACCGGAGAGCTCCAAACAGGCATCTTCTCAGCTCTAAAGGAGCCTGGGAATATCAGAATAAGTCCAGACCCCTTGGAGAAGATACAGATCTTCAGAGTGACCCAGAAATGGCCGGTATTCTGGAAAGAGGCAAAGATGGATTATTCTTTACGGGGTTGCTTTGGGCTCTCTAAATTGGCCTGGAACCAAATGATCTGAACGGCACAGGCTAAGGAGATGGTTATACAACTTGGATTTTTAAAAAATGTTTACTCCCACTTGGGATTTCATGTATAAATACAAAAAAAAAAATGTTCCTGAAGGCATTCTTTAAGCAACAAAGAGTAGAAACTCACATTATACTTAATAATATCTCCAAGTACCTAGAAACTATTCTTAAAATCAATCGATCAGATTACTATTCAATGAATTAAAGAGATTTTCTTTTAAAGAGCTCAGAAGCATATGGAAAATTATCCTCTGAAAATTGACAATGATTTGGAGTGGTTACAACTGGCACTGGCAACATTAGTTTTTCTCCTGAACACACACATTCAGTGGAAGCCAAGTGGAAACTGAAACTCTAAAGAAGTCCCACTTATGGTGGATAACTGGCTGAAGGCAAACCCGATTTTGATTTCTGTAGAGGCAGAGAGCAAACACTCTGTTCTCAGTGGTTTCTCACTTGATGTTTGGGCTGACAGAGACTGAGGGTGACACCAAGAGCACTCGGTGAAGCTTATGGTAAGAACAAGTATGCAGGCTCCCCTCCTTTTCTTCCATGGACTTAATTTCTAGGGCCGAAATGTACCCTGTTATTGTGGCTTAAAATGTTTTCAAGGAGACTTTTTGGAAAGAGTACTGCATACACAAGGAAAATTCCAAAACCAACAATACTCTAACAAACAGAAATTTATTTAGTTATAAGCACAATAAGGTGCATTCAACTCAGAAAGGCTATACCCTGGGAGCAGGTGTAAGGTCCACAATGATGGCCAGAAAGGCAGTGACAGTTCTGCATGGGATTTCTATAACCAACGTGGGCTAATAAGTGTAGGAGAGGTTACCAAATTTTCTATTCCCTAGGACATCTCCATCTATATATTGAAACTGAGATGGAGAGGATGTAATTAACTACATGAATTAATGAATTGCTAATACAGCATTTATCTGACCATATGTAAGGATTTATTTATATGCTTTGCTCCTTCACTGGATAACTTGATAGCACCATTTCTCAATTGTGTATTTACTCCCATTGTCTAACATAACTCATAGCACTTTGAAGACACTTAGTCACAGTTTGATGAATGAATGAGTGAAATGAATGAATGAATGAATGAATGGAGTTAAACTAAAACGTGTTACACTCCCAGTCTCGTTAACCCCATAATCAAGTCCTGCATAAAGAAAACCTGGGTATAAAAGTCCTTGAATTCCATTATTTCATTAATAGTATCTGCCCCTCGTTTTATTATTCTCCTTCCCCTGTACTCCTTGGTTCTCTCTCGTTTATCTCTTTCTATGTGAAATACCAAAATTTCTCTACTACCCACTTACTTCCTCTCTCACCACAACTCCTAGATTTACTCAACCCCATGTATCTATGTCCATATCCTGCAGTGTTCCATATTTCTGTCCCTCTTCCCTCTCATGCTAATCTTCACCTCCTTTTCTCTCCGTTACCTTATGCCATCCAGGAAGACACTTGTAGATGAGTGTAAGTAGTTAACAGCTGGAGTGATGCGTTGGATGCACATGAAACATAACTGACACTCAGAAAGCCAAAGGTCAATGACATGTGAGTAATACTGTGGCCCTGGCTGAATTGAACCCCCTGGACTGGAGCTAAGGGCTAATGGACTCCCAGTTGCCACTGCCTGACATGCTCTAACCCCAGCCCTGCCTGGTTCCCTCCTACTTGTTTTTTGAGTCTCTGTTTAATATCAGCCCTGAGAGAACTTTCATTCCCTTTGCCCTCCTCAGCCAAAGTCTGGTCCCCCATTACAAGCTCTCCTTACCCCTTGGCCTTTCTCTGAACAACTCACCTGGAGGACAGCCAAGTATTTAATGACTATTTATTCCATGCACATCTCCCTGCACTGGCCCCTGAGACCTTTGGTGCAAGGGCCGTTTCTACTTTGCTCAGCACTATGCTCCAGTGCCTAGCGCAGTCCTCAGCACACTACTGCTCCTTGTAAATAAATTCATTATATAGAAAATCAAATGCATAGAGCCACCAAGACTACTCACATGAGGCTGATGTTATAAGAATTTTGAAGAGAAGAGATGTGGGGAGAGGAAGAGTTTTAATGAGAAGTAGCAGCTTGCAAAGGTTGTGTAGAATGAAGAGAGAGGATTAGGGGCAGAAGGTTTTCCTTGAGTGATAACAATTGGTGGAAATTCTGATTTAACTAATGAATATAATTTCATATGAACAGATGGGCACAGTGGGGATTAAAGCTGACAGTGCTACCATCAGAAACAACTAGGTATATTTCTTTGAAATAAAGCACTTTGAATATAGTCCATTATGTTTTCATATCAGTGTTTTATAAGTGTTCTATTAAGTAAAAAGCTCTGTTAAGCAAAAGTACTATGTAATATTTGAGCAAGGAAGAGGTAGGGAAGGCTGAGTCTTGTCAGAAACACTAAAATCATCTGAACACCATGCAGGCCATTAATCTCTGGGTGCTGCCCTACTGGGGTTCATTTAGTGAGAGCCTAACTGCATGCACCTTGTTCAGATACAGCTCCCTTAGGTTTCTCTCAATCTACTTTCTCAGCCAACTTGACCATTAGAAAGCATTTAACATCAGGACAATATCAGTCTCAAAAGGGTTTATTAGGCAGTGAAAGAAAAGGGGGGGAGGTCTGTTTGTTTTTTCAAATCTTTTAGCCTCCAACACTCATTAGCAAGTCCTTCTGCCTTGCCAATATACTCTGTACTTCTCTACTCCAGTTTTTGATCATGCTTCTCTCTCTTTTTTTTTTCTTAGAATTTGGAAGCAGTTGCCATCTTTAACATTCAAGTCACAGCACTTTACTCATGGAGCTGGAAGAACTTGGGAAATCATCTAATTCAATATGCTCATTTTAGGGATGAGGATTTTTTTTTTCTGGAAAATTTATTTAGCTAAATTCAGACGAGCTTTCTTTGCACTTGGAGTCAGATTCAGAAATCAAAAATAAAGTATAAACTGGGGTAGATTGTAGTAAACCTGGGGTAGGGGTTGGCAGGGGAAGAAGCTAAAGCAAAGAGAACCTTCATAGGATAACAATCACCAGCTAGATGAAGTCACCAGAAGCTGAAAAGATATCAGTCATCTCTAAATTATGTTCCCACAACTAATCTACTAGCCTGAAAAGACAGGCCACGGGCGGCCATTTATAACTATATTCACACCCACTACAAATTTTATAATAAAAACAATTAGTTTTAACAGCCTCTATAATAAATTATTATTAATGCTGCCAAAAAGCAGTACTGAGAAAAAACAAAACAAAACAAAAAAACCAATAAGGTATAGTGAAAGAAAACATGGTCTTTGGAGCCAAGCAATTCAAGATTCAAATCCTCATCTCACCATTAGCTGGTAACCTTGGGAAGGCCTCAGGAAGACCTGAGTTTTAAAATCTTTAAGATGGGAATAACTAATACCAGCAGTATAGGGCTGTTGTAAGGTTTAAATGCAATGGTATATACAAAATGCTAGTAGCTACACCACTGTTCACAGCAGCATTATTCACAATAGCCAAAAGGATTAAGGACCCAAGCATCCATTGATGGATGAATGGATAAACAGGGCATGGCATGTGCATATAATAAAACATTACTCAGCTTTACAGAGAAATGAAATTCAAATACATGCTACAACATGGATGGACTTTGAAGACATTATGCTAAGTGACATACACCAGACTGAAAAGGACAAATATTGTATGATTCTTTGTATTTGAATATCTAGAACAGGCAAGTTCATAGAGACAGAAAGTAGAATAGAGATCACCAGGTACTGGGAGCATAAGGAAATGGAAAATTATTGTTTAATGAGTACAGAGCTTCTGTTTGGGGTCATGAAAAAGTTCTGGAAATAGATGGAAGTGATGGTTACACAACACTGTGAACTTAATGACACAGAATTGTACACTTAAAAATGATTAAAATGATGAAGTTTAACTTAATGACACAGAATTGTACACTTAAAAATGATTAAAATGATGAAGTTTATGTTATGTATATTTTACCAAAATAAAGGAAGAAAACAACAAAACAACGATGCTAGCAGAGTGCCTGATGCAAAGTCTATCAGCAAATGGTGGATACAGTTACACCCCGTTGTGCCCATTTTTACCTGTTCCAAGTAATGTAGGGACAAGTTGATATACTTGGCCTCTGTTAGAAGTTGACCCCCTGCTCCAGTCTTTGCAACTCGCTCTGAACCAGCCAGATCAACCAAATGAAGTTTAGCATGCCGGACAGTCACAGATCCTGGTTCCTTGCTTGATAAGTGAATAGTGAAAATGCAGTGGGAACGAGTTGAAGCCTGGTTCATTGGAGTCTGTAAAATGAAAGTGCAAAACAAAATTAATGTGAACAATGAGAATTTTGGCAGACCATCAAAAAGTTTAGATGTATGTTTCTAATGGTATGACATTTCCAATGAAGCCAATGCTGTCAAACTCAACAAAAAAGCTTGTAGCTGAGATCTCTCAAAGTGAGTTATTTTTAATATACTGTCTCTTGAATGACTGACAACAGATATGGATGGGTTAATTTAGAAAGTGAGGAAAGAGTTCAAATGAAGTAAAGCGGGGGTCCTCTTACTAATATGGATAACTTAATTTCATTACATGGCCACACTCCCTACCTTAACCTTGGCTAGCCATACTGCAAATGTTTAATGGGAATGTCATGGGAAAAAAGGTGAAAATGGATGCACTGGGGGAATTCATTATACACTTGTAATAAACACAACCCACAGATGAGGATGCCCAGTATCACTGCTACTACCCAACAGCGAACAGGGGTCCCAGCCAATGTAATAAATAAGAAAAAGAAATACAAGTCATAGTGACAGGAAAAGAAGAGATTAAAACATCATTACATACAGAAAATATGGTGGTCCACATAGAAAATGCAGGAGCATCTATAAACTATTAAAAACTACGAAGTTTAGCAAGGTTGCTGGATCCAAGATCAACAAGCCAAATCAAGAAAGTTCTAATAACCCAGCAATAATTAATCAGGAAATATAATACTCCTAATGGCCACAAGGACAATGAGATAACAGACGACTAATCTTATAAAAATGCATGATTTGGGGGTGCCTGGGTGCATCAGACGGTTAAGCGTCTGCCTTCGGCTCAGGTCATAATCCTAGGGTCCTGGGATTGAGCCCCGCATCTGGCTCCCTGCTCCGTGGGAGGCCTGCTTCTCCCTCTCCCACTCTCCCTGCTTGTATTCCCTCTCGCTGTCTCTCTCTCTGTCAAATAAATAAAATCTTAAAAAAAATGCATGATTTGTAGGGAAAATTATATTAAAAGATACAAAAAGGAAACCTGAGTAAAAGGTGTCCAGATATTAATATACCATGTCAGGGATGGGAAAACTAAAAATTCATATCTATATTAATTTCTCTGTATATTCCATGCAATTGAAATAAAAATACCACACATTATGTTTGTGGAACAGAACAAACAAATTGATTCTAAAACACAGATGGAAGAGCAAATATTAAAAAATAACAAAAATAATTCTGTGAAAGAAGAACAAGAGAGGGGAACTTGTCCTGCTATACGTCAGGGTATATCATAACCCATGGTAATTAAAACAGTGTGGTGTTGCTGCAGGAACAGAAAAACAGTAAAACATGCTGGGCTCATTTCAGCACTCTGTATAGCATAGAGGAGATATCACACTGCCATGGAGAAAGGATGGACTAATTCACAAATGGTGCTACAATAACTGGCTCTCCATCTTAAAGAAAATAAATTTAGGTTGCTTTCTCACACCAGACACACAAATAAATTCCAGAATATATTAAAGACTTATGCATAAAATAACACAATTTTAACACTAATATAAGAAAATATGGAAGCATATCACAGTCAACCCAAGGTAGTAATGGATCTTTTTTTTTTAATAAAGATTTATTTGAGATTTATTTGAGACAGAGAGAGAGAAAGTGAGAGAGTGAGTGGGGAGAGAGGCAAAGGAAGAGATCTCAAGCATACTCCCCACTGAGTGTGGAGCCTGACATGGGGCTCAGTCTCACGACCCATGAGATCATGATCTGAGCCAAAATCACAAGTCAGCCACTTAACCAACTGAGCCACCCAGGCGTCCCTAGTAATGGATCTTTTATAAGACATTAAACACAAAAATGAATTGGTTGAAAGTATTTGACCAAATTATCCAAAATTGAAGAACTTCTGGGTGATAAAATCTACCACAAATTTAGAAGACTGGGAGATGATATTTGCAATCCACACAGCTGACAAAAGATTAATATTTGAAATAAAGAACTCCCATAAGTTTTCGACAAGAAAAAGACAACTCAGAAAAAAAATGAGCAAAGGATATGAACAGGCAACCCACAAAGAGGAAACCTGAACATGGTCAATAAGTATTTGAAAAAAAATGCTCAAACTCACAAATAATCAGGACAAATAATTCGAGCCATAATGATAAACTATTTCATTCACATCTGTCAGATTGGCAAAATTAAAAAAAAAAACCAAAGTCTAACGAGATAAGGTTTGTAAAGATACAAGGAAATGGGAACTTTTATATACTGCTGGTGAGAATATACATTAAGAATCCATTTTTGAGAGCAATTTGACAATATGTGGTAAGGTTGCAGATGCATATAACCTACAACCCAGTTGTACGAGGCATTTCCTGGAGAGAAATCTGAAACAGGGAACACCAGGAGAGAGAAAAGGGGTGGATAATATACACACATATGAACATTTACTGCAATGCTGTTTGGGGATAGCAAAAAATTGGTGCAAGATGTATCATCTAAACGAACATCTGTGGTAGAAAAGATGAATAAGCTGGGATAATTCAAACTATAAAGAAGTTAAAATGAAGCATCTTTTGGATAGATTGACAGATGGGATTTCTGAAATGCTGAAGAAAAAAAGCATATTAAAGAATGATATAAATTTAGATAATCAAAATGATATCTGTGATAGAACTTAGGTAATCAAAAAAGCAATGTTACCTAAAAAAATTTGTTCATGGCTCTATAACTCAGGTCATTAAACTACAAAAATATGGTTTGGAAGGACACAGTGAATTAATGATAAGAGTTGCCTTTGTGAGGGATACAAAACAAAAGGCCAACAAGAGGACTTCAATTGTATCTGTAATATTCTATGTATTTAAAATGATCAGAAGCAAATTCTGATACCTAAAAATAAAAAATCATCTAAAAATATTCCAAATGAGTGCTCACATAAGTAAATGGGTGCAGCTCTCCACCTCTGCAAAATGGGATTTAATGAAACAATTTCCATATGGATGCTCATGTATTCAGATAGAGTAACACACTTGGATGCTATTTTAACCAGAAATTTCTTTCTGTAAATAGGAGTTCTTGATATACACCATTGTTGATTTATACCAAGTTGCAAAATACACTGATGTCAAAATACTGGCATTGTTTTGGTGATGATGTAGCCAGTGAGTTAAATGGGCTGAAAATGTGACCCATTACTCGTTGCCACAATTACTATACCCAGATCTGGCCAGTGTGTGATTTTGCAAGCTGAAGTGGATCGGCAAATAACTGTGCCTGCAAAACCGCAACTCAGATTTAGAACCTAAGTTGAGGTGTCCTGAAAGTGACTGGAAGTTATTTGCAGAACTTAAACATAGGTTTCATTTCACTGTTATATTCACACAACGATAAATTCTACAGTACTGTCACAAAAATCAAATTGGCGATTGATATAAATGAATAACACAGAGACTATCCCCAACAGCTGTCTTCAGTGTCTACATGGATACAATGAAATCACAGCAAAATGTGGCCATTAGCAAATAATGGAAGAGTGGACCCATTTCAAAGGAATGTGAAATTTACATCAAATTAAATTGTATTTCTGGAGTCTATAATTAAAATGCAGTATATGCTGTCGGAGTCCATGCCTACAATTTTGTAACTTCTCATAAATATTTCCTGCATGAAGTAGTAGTTGCTGTCCTCTTAGCTAAAATTTTCTTAAACCTCAGAAAACATTCTTTATGTGTAGCTGTTTTAAGTGTGATTGAATGTGCTGGTGTCTGCTCTGTGTTTATTTAAGGGTGTCTTTATGTCTCATAAGCATGCCCCTACGTTTGTCCTTTTAAAGGTAAAATTGTATTAAAACACTTCTGAAACTGCCTAAGAACATATGGCAGCATTTAGGCAGATTCATTCAAATTTAAGCTCACATTTTAAACAAATGTGCTCTTGGCACTAGAGCCTGTGTCTTTGGAAAAATTTTAGTGATGATTAATCATCCACATGCAGAGAGCTTTCACATTTCATATCAGTCTATGGCTACAGCTCTGCATCAGGCAGCGCAAAGACTAGAAGGAAAGTAAGACATAGAACTTGCCCTCAAGGAATTTATACTCTAGTTCAAGAGCTAAAGACAAAACAAGTGAAATGAGAGTGAACGATGAGAAAAAGGCAAATGTGCAATAAAGAAAGTGGTCTGTTCTCAGAATTGAGTATCCTGATCCTCTAGGCAATACCTGAGAATGACAGCCATCCCCTCATTCTGGAAGTTCTCCACCTACCCTGCCCCTCCTTGGTTTCTATAATCAAATATTTTTCTGGCACTTTTTTTTTCTTTTCTTTTTTAGAGAAAGCGAGAACTCACATGAGCAGGGGACAGTGGGGGGTGGGTGGGTGGGGAGGAAGGGCAAGGGGTAAGAGAGAATCTTAAGCAGGCTCCACACCCAGTGTGGAGCCCAACACGGGGCTCAATCTCACAACCCTGAGACCATGACCTGAGCCAAAATCAAGAGTCAGAAGCTTAACAAACTGAGCCACCCAGGCGCCTCGTGTTCTGGCACTTTCTAACTACTGTCTCCTTTTCCTTTATTGGATCGTTTTCTCTCTAGTCCCTAAAACAGGCATGTCTCAAGCTGTGGTCATCATATTTCTTCCACTTGGAAAGCTCTTCTTCTATAGCTCTGATTACCACTGGGTAGGCACTATAGTGGGATTAAAAGTCACATACCAATGATTTTAGAATTTGGTATTGGGACACCTGGTTTCAAGTCCTGTTTTGTCACTAGTGTTGAAATCTTAAGCAAATTTACATAATTTTGGCTTTCATGTCTTTGTAATGTCATAGTAAGACTTGCTTTGCTGGGGCACCTGGGTGGCTCAGTCAGTTAAGCATCAGACTCTTGATTTTGGCTCAGGGTCATGATCTCAGGGTCATGAGATTGAGCCCAGCATCTGGCTCCATGCTCAGCAGGGAGTCAGCCTGAGATTCTCTTGCTCCCTCTCCCTCTGCCCCTCCCTCCACTTGCAAACACACACTCTCTCTCTCT